GAAAAAAATTATCCTCTTGTAAGGGTATGCACCACATATCAAGATTCATTGTTTCTCGATATGTTCCTTATCTAAATTTAAATTAATTTAACAACTTGAAGCTTATTTTTGGATGTTATACAGAGGATAAGAGAGAATACAATCATTATAATTTTGTATATGTCTTGAAACATTAAGAGGACAAACGTATTTAGTTTGATATGTACACCTCTTAATGTTTTCTTATTAGCATCCCTGAATATCTGTGATTTGATCACGCAGATTTCTGTGAGAGATGTGTTCAAAATTAAGTAGTGTGATACAGTTTATCTTAGTGAATGTGTATTGTAAGAGAAACTCGAGAATTTTGTCTATGAAACAAATACTTAGAAGGTTATGGAGAGATTCAAAATATTGTATGCGATATTGTTAAGTTACAGTGAATATATATTGTGAAAATTTTACATAAATACTAAAGGGTATGATAGAAGAGAGTCCGAATTTCTGACTCACAATTATTTAAAGAGCTCTTTTACTCTTATAACTCTAATATTCTTTTATTCCAATATTCTTATAATTTTTATCTATATATATAAAGGAGAAAAGCGACTCACTCACTCACTCACTGACTAATCACGATATCTCCGGAACTATTAAACCTACAGACTTCAAATTTGGTATGTAGGTTCCCTTCATGGAGTAGACGTCAGCTAAGAACGGATTTTGCAAAGTTCGAAACCCAAGGGGCGTTACGGGGGTTTAAGGGGCGTTATAGATGATTATTTCCATTACTAAACTATTAGATGTACAGTCGTGAAACTTGGTACACAGATTTCTTTCATAAAGTAGAGATTCCCTACATAATGATTTTTACGGAAATTGACCTCCAACAGGCGTTGAGGGCGCTTAAGGGGTGTTATACATAATTATTTCCATTTTTAACCTATTAGACGTACAGTCTTGAAATTTGGTAAGCGGATTACTTTCATAGAGTACAGATCCCCTACAGAATGGGTTTTGGGAAAATCGACTCCCAAGTGGAATTGTAGAGAATTAAGTGGCGTTATAGGCAATTAACTCCTTTTTTAAACTATTATACGTAAAATCTCGATCTTTAGTAAGCTTATTGCATTCATTGAGTAGAGATCCGCTATAAGATGGGTTTTGTGAAAATCGTTTCCTAAGTGGCGTTGCGGGGGCTTAAGGGGCGCTACAGATAATTATTTCCGTTTTTAAACTATTATACGTACAGTCTTGAAATTTGGTTAGCGGATTCCTTTCATAAAGTACAGATCCGCTGCAAAATGGGTTTTGTGAAAATCGACCCCAAGTGGAGTTGTGGAGAATTAAGGGGCGTTATAGGCAATTAACTCCTTTTTTATACTATTAGACGTAAAAAATCGAGATTCCATTCACTGAAAAGAAATCTGTCATAAGAGGGGTTTTGTGAAAATCGTTTCCTAAGTGGCGTTTCGGGGGCTTAAGGGGCGTTATAGATAATTATTTCCATTTTTAAACTATTAGACGTACAGTCTTAAAATTTGGTAAGCGAATTCCTTTCATGGTGTAGAGATCCGCAACAAAATAGTTTGGGGGAAAATTGATCCCCAAGGGTCACTGAGGGGGATTAAGGGCGTAATAGATAAATATTTCCGTTTTTCAACTAATAGAAACACCTGCTTAAAAATTAGGAGGTATGTTCCGTTCATGGAATAAAGTTCCTCTTACAAAGATTTTTGCGAAAACAGACCCCCGAAGGAGTGGGGTTGCGAGGAAAAGGCGTGTTTTATAAAAATTCCTGTTTTTGAATTTAACTCATTTACTTGAAATTTGTTGAGCACTTTTCTTTAGTTGAATATAGTTCCACTAAGAATGTATTTTACGGAAATCAACTCCAGAGGGAAGCGGGGAGAGTTATTGGGGCGTATTGATAGACAAAATTTCCGTTTTTGAGCTGCTAAGACTACAATAATAAAATTTGGTTTGCATGCTTCTTTTGTTGAATTGGAATCCGCTAAGAGTGCTCTCAACGAGGTATTGATGATAAAAATTCCGTTTCTGCTCTGTTAGATTTAGACTTGAAATTTAGCACGCATGTTTATTTTATGGAATAGAGATCCACTGAAAGTTGCTTTGGTGGAAATCCACTTGATTATTAGGTTAAGTGAGCGAAAAAAATCTTTCTCCTTCTATTTTAGATATAAATAGAAATTAGATATTATAATTTATGTTCTTTTTACATCATGGGGCGAGGGTGTAACAGCTATAAATATATTTTTCAATACAATCAATACAATTCTTAATGCTAGATATCAATAATTAATATATATGTAAACAGTATACATATATACAACATCGGGAAATACCCAGTGAAGCGGGTGGGTAACGGCTAGTATTCTTATATTTTATAACGCATATGAAATAAAATATTGTTTATTGTGTTGAATAGTGCATATAATTTGTTGTGTGTACACCGTTTTCATATTATTAATAATTTCATTTTATTAGTGTCTGTATTTTTTTCTCTTTTTAAAAAATGTATTTCATACATGCAAAATTTGTGTAACACCATTAGGTATTACTACGATGGCGCCAGAGTAGATTTTTATACAAAATTATTATTTTAACATTTGTATGATATCACGTATTTTTATATTTACTGTCTTATTGTTTGATATGATATTATTTACCAATAAAAAAAATTTTTTGAATACATTATTTGTTAGCTGTAATACGAATTTATTATTATGAAGGAATAGGAGGAAACGCGAGCTCTTACTCTGGATGTCGAATACATTTGAACAAGCTAACCTTCAATTATATGTATGGAAATTCATTTTTATCAATTAATATTTTGGAAGTGTCATTACTGTGTTTGTTGTTATAATTTCGTTTATTTTAGAGCATTTTGATTGTTGTAATCCTATTACTTAAATATTTCTACTATGTGTAATATGCTATGATGTTATATATTGTTTTGTTTTTGTTGAAAATTGATTAAGTTTGTAAAGAGAGAAAAACCACGCCCTGACTCCCTTTTAAAATTGGGGGCAAATGTAAGGATAATTAAATTAGATTAAAAATTAAATTCATTATCTAGCACTGAACTCATATTTTTTCATTTCAGCTTCAAGTATCAAACCAATCACCCATTTATTTCTTCCGAACATATGGTCTAGCCAATAAACATGTCTAATTCCAGATCGTTAGATATAATAGCCCCATATGTCAGCATTAACTTTCAAGTACCATCATAAAATCCGCGATACTTACAGCATCTGTGTTTTTAAAGTGCTAACCCACTTAAAAACACGGTGGCATTCTTTTTCTCTCCACCCTCTCAGCGTCAGAGCTTGTACAGATTTCATCAAATAAAGATCCTTTTTAAAACTAAGTCTGATTCAGACTTCAAAAACATGTCTTATATATATATATATATATATATATATATATATATATATATATATATATATATATATATATATATATATATATATATATATATATATATATATATATATATATATATATATATATAAATCTTTTAAAGTATGTAGCTCTGTACCAGGAGACATTTCAGATGAAAAATTTTCAAAACTCTTCAATGTTAGGTAAATAGGAGTCTAAATGTGTTAAAATCAGTGGGAATTAAATTTATTTCATTTAAAGCAATAATGTTTATGAATTTGTCTTTTCTATTTCAGAATCATAGACGATTAATTAGACAAAGTTATTAATTATTAACTTCTATGTCTGATAAATTTTAAAATTTATTGCTTAACTTTTTCATATTTAGTCGGATTCCTTTTTTTTCGAAGCAAAGCTCGCTATTTAACGAATAATAAACTCCGAATTAATGATTTATTTCAGCAGCTGGGGAAAAAAATTTATTAATTCGCATCAGAACTTTTTGTTCAAACGCCATATCCTTTTTGCCCGGAACAAAAGAAGAGTTTTCTTGCAAGCGGCAAATTTCGATGGGGAAGGGTCCAAACCATTATTAGGTTTTACAGGTGTAGATGTGTCATGAATGGGATCTATAGTGTAAGCTTTAAATTGGACAGGAAATTCCTTTCTTGTCTCATTTCCCTCAACAAAGCAGGCAATATTTTAAGATTTTAACGATCATGTTACATTTGTTGACAGTTTACCTATCTGGGGAACTGAAATTAAAGAAACGGTTGATTTGTAGGAGCCAATAATAGCGATTCTGATGCAGAAATGGATTGTGAAACTCTTAGGGAAACTTTTACGTTTTCTAATGCTTCACATTGTTTGGAAACTGAAAACATACCTTACTCAACGGAACGTAAAAAACGCAGTTTTTTCTTCTCAGCATAAAGTCGAAAAAGAACTCTTTTTCGAGTCTGGAATTAAAAAGATTTTCAAACATTTACCAATCAGTATTTCAAAATTTCAAATTAACTGACATGTAATAATTCACTAATAATATATTTAGCTGATGAATAAAAGTATAAAATTTCTAACAATGGATATTTTTTGTTAGAATTTTCAAAAGACAGTGCAGAAGAATTGTATTTTGTTTGGACCTTACTATAAAGAATTTAACGAACACAACATTCGGCCCCAGTGATTCCGTTGAATCGGGGTTCGACTTTAGTTTAAGTACTTCAAGCGTAGTTAGTGTGACTATTTGAGAAGTACACATAAAAACAATCAATTTAAAAAAACATTTCACAATCAATTCCTACTTAGGTCAACAAAGAAAAATTTTATTTTAGTTACTTTTTTATTAAATAATTACAGTTAATATAACTATGTATATACATATGACGGAATCACAATATTAAGTGACGAAATAGAAAGCGATTTTCCTTGTAATTTCATTTCGTTATATAGGGTGTTGAGATTTTTTTTGTTTCTTTCTTTTTATTCATTATATATATATATATATATATATATATATATATATATATATATATATATATATATATAATTAAATTTAATTATTCTAACAAAATAGTACAGTAAAAAAGAAATCACATTTTGAGAAATCAGACCATCCCAGATGGGATCCAAATCCACGACCTTCAGATTACATGTCCAACGCGCTATCTAATGCGCTACAGGGACACAACGAACGATTTTCCTTTCTATATATGCTGTTGGGCTGTTATTTTTGTTACAATTTATTCATTTTTACATTCAATTAATGAATTAATATTTAAAAAATTGTATTAACTCCAAGTGTCATACACCACAAGTTTAAAAAAATGTATTTGAACTTGAGTGGATGGATAAAAAGTATTTTATTAAAGATTCAAACTTTGAACAAGGTATATATAGAGTCGGACAACTACATAACGAAGCCGCTAGATACCAAAAAAAAGTTCGTTATATGGAAAATTCGTTATATAGAGGTTCCTCTTTCAACTTTCTTTATAAACCACATAAAACAAACTTTAAATTCATAAACACTACATACTAAAAAAGTAATTATTCACACCTTTTTGCAAATTAATAATATTTATTTTACCTATCTTACCCATCAAAAGAAAGAAAGAAAAACTGCAAGGAAAGTTTCTTGAAGCCTTTGTCCACTGCCTGAAGTATTAAATTTTTTCTTTGGTACGCAACCGCTTACGTTTTGAAATTTTCCAGCTACAAAAAATGAAGTTACCAGTGTGACTGATCAATACTACAAATGAATGGAGACTAATTCACGGATACGGGGGCATGAAACAACTTTACCGCGGATGAAAGAGGATATCGAAGATTTTTCCAGTGAACTGGACAGTGGGGGTTAGACGTTGTACTTCTTGGATGAAACACCCAGAATTGTACTGCTCTTGGCGAGTTAGGCACCTGATAAAATAAGTTCAACATTTATGACCCCCAAAAAATGTGTTAAAAGAGAGAATAATTTGAAATGTCCAGAAATACTAAGAAAATAGGGTGAAAAAATTGAATCACAAGGAAAAATCACAAGGAAAAAGTTCGTTATATAGAAAATGCACTTCGCTATTGGGAGGTAATTTTACGAAGAAAATCGTGAAATGCTCTTGGTTCCAGGAAAAAGTTCGTTACATAGAAAAGTTTGTAATGTGGAGGTTCGACTTTATATATATATATATATATATATATATATATATATATATATATATATATATATATATATAGTTCAAATTTTCAATCGTTAATAATAGGGAGAGTGTGAACTAATAGTAGGAATTTAAATTTATTCCATCTGCTTTTTTTTTGAATTATTTGAACAGATTCAGTATTATCAATTCCACATATTGCGAAGTGTTCCTATTTAAATTATAGAATAAAAAAACAGCTAATTTATATCGATTTCCTTTTTTGTAATCACCATCAACCATTGGTTTTTCCGTCCATAATTGCCCTCATAATTAGCCAAACACATTTCTTGAATAATAAGATTGCAAGCATTCGTATGATTTGATTTGTATTAAGGACTAATTGCCTCGTCACATTTTTATTTGAAAAAGAAAAAAGAAGGCAAGGGGAAAAAAAGTTCTCCTTTAACCCAAAGGCAAACAATTCTTCGCTTTTGCAAAAGCGTATCACACTTATTGATTTATATTCCTTGAGAAGAAAGATCAAACGAAGCATTTAAATTTCATTTCTAGAACCCGAGAAATCACGCTGTTTTCATTCGCTTCGGCCATTTTTTTTAAGTTCATTATTTTGCCCTGGGGTAAAAACCGTGAAAAGAATAGAGCTCGCTTCTCATTGGCTGCAGCTATGTGACTTGTGCTGAAAATCAATGAAATAAATGTCTGATTAAATCAACTTTAACAAATCGAGTGTTTTCGAGTCGACTTATATTTGTTTTTCCTTTGTTTCCACCGTACATCGAATGCGTGTGAACTTTAATTTGAAATGTCGGAGCTCCATTTTATTTACTGTGGATACTTTGAGCTCTCTTGGAATTAGCTTCCTTTTTTTATTTTTATTATTCTTTTTATTCACTCGGAACTTCGCCTTTTCTTTAAACAGGATCGTTGTAGAAAATTTTCCGGGCCGTTATTTAATTATCTCTTTACTGTTGAAGCCTGTAATTTCATGAAAGGAACTTAACCTAATCAAATGGAGAAATGAAAATTATTTTCTCTAATATCGTAATTCTAAAATGCTGAGAAGAACTCTAATTCGGGTTGTTAAATAAAGTGAATTACTTTATTTTGGGCATTCTTAAACAGGAGTTGATTTGGATCGGGATTTAAGAGCTAAAATGAAGTGTAAAGAAAAGAAAGACAAAAATTTGGTGAAAATCTATATTATTTTCTTATAAAAGTGTTGGAATACTTATTTATTGAAGCAATTTAAACAACGATTCGTATCTTAGGTTAAAATTGATTTGATAATGAATATTTGATCATTATTTTTGTAAAGAGGGTTTGTTAGTATTAAATAACTAATGAATCAATCGAATTGAAAGTAGTTCTGAGATAAAAATGTACTGTAAAAGAGTGTCTTTTCGGTACTTACGTTGTATTGCAACCTATTGGAGACATTGCATGAAATGAAGCACCTGATTGCCAATTCAGCGCATACGATACATAGGAAATAGGGGTTACCAACTTTATGAGCTATTAATAGAGTTGGCGATTATTGCGATAATACATAAGTATCGTTTCCTCTTATGATGAACTCATTTTCTTTCACACATAAAAAGCAAAAGACTTAAGGAATTGTAACAGAGAAATAAAACTAAGGGAAAATTTCGAATTGAGAAAACTTACTTTACATATAAAGCATACAAAATTCAGCTTTTTGTTATGATTTATACAAAAATTCAGTTTTAAAAATGCTTTAAGTATTTTCAGAACATCCTAATATTAAGTAAGATAGTGTTGATAATTGTATTTATATGTCATAGAGAATAAGTACCAATGATATTTACGCATTATCGCACCAATCGCCAACGTTCAAGATAACTCGCCAAGTTGGCAACCTCAATTTCGCATGTGTCGTATACGCTGCAATTATGTTCTTCGTTTTATATAATATCGCCAATAGGTTGTGATAATACGTAGGCACCGTGGCGTTATATTAAATCATTTTTTCGATATTTTCTTAAGCCTTACGGCATTAAATACTTGAAAAATCGAGATAAATAATTTGAATAATTTAATTGTTGTGAAATCAGGAAATAAACGGATTCGAATAGAGTAATAATTAAAGCGCGCGTGAAATTCTATAAAAATCGTTTGCCCTAAATGTTAAGTTGTGTAAGAGATGTTTTTTTCCAATGGTGGATTGCAAACAAAATGAGAAGCAGATAATAGTGTAAATATATGTGATTCTATTAAAAAAAAGTTATTCTTTATGCTTCATTGGTTGTATTTTTATTTATTTATTTAAGTGTGAATTCTATACGCGATGATATATTAACAACTATATATATATATATATATATATATATATATTTTTGTTATAACAAACGTCGTTGTCAGTTTTGAAAAATTAAATAAAGAAAATGTATGAGAAGAGAATATTTATTTTTATGCGTATATATACTTCTAACATATTATTGTTTTATATTTTAAGGTCATGCATATTTTTTATTGTTACTTTCATTATTGTAAAATTTTCTCTTACCTTCTTAGGGTACTTTTAATTTAAATTTTTTTCCTTTAGAGTATTTCACTTTTTTTAAGAAACCATTCTTGCTTACATTTTTCATGACGAATTTGAATTTCATTCACTGACATAACTTCAAAATTCTTAATCTCTTAAGTGGTTTGCATGCACAGCGTACGGGTTACTGAAAGTTGGCCGCCACCAGTTTGTCCGTACGCTGTACGTGCACTGATATTTCATTTCTTTCTCTGATTTGCGTGTGTTTTCAAATCTTATGATGATATTATTTAGTGTCACTGTTTTACAAAGGGGATGAAGTTTGATTATGTTACTGAAATGCTTTAAATCCTGAACTTTCTTTGCGGTGAAGACGAAAATTTTTCTTCGATGAAGGCAAGAAATTTAGATCCGTAAAATTTGTGTTCTACTGTATGCAATGCTTTTGAATTCTGACCGGTAACTATCGAAATTACGGATAACGTAACCAACAACAACAACAAATTTTTGTGAAAGGATGAATTAAATTTGGAAACAGATTCAGAACTGTTTGCTGATTATTTTGATTATTCTTCAGATGAACACGCACACAAAAACCTAAGCCGTTTGAAAAAGTACGAACATAAAAATGTAAAGATATTTTAATATCATTTTGAGTGTGCTTACAAAAAGCAAAGATTGGAGAGTTTTTGTGTTCCACAACTGTAAAATAAAATATGGAGTAAGAAATTTAAAATTTAAAATTGAAATTAAACTCTTCCATTTTTTATTCTTTTAAGTAAAGTGTTTAATTATACGCAATAAAAAAAATATGCCTTTTTTGAAGTATTTGGGGTAAAAAAATGACCAGTTAAGGCAGTTCTCAAACTATCAATATTTGCGACCCAACTTTCAATGATAATTTTCATCGTCACCCCCACATACAATGACTATTTATTTAATTCAATAATAATGTGATTTGACACTAAAGCTATATTGCGATTTTAATTATAAACCACACAAATTATCAAGAAACGAATTATATTTTTTATATAACAAGTCCGTGGGGTAAATGATATGTATAAAATTTGTTTTTAACTAAGCATTTACGAAATACATTGTGAAGTTCTTATACATTTATAAGTATATTATATCACAGTGTAAATATGTGTATTTTATTTTCTATTATGTCAGAATATATTTTCTTTTACTGCATTTCAGTAAATTAATATCCTTTTTAATTATCTTTTGTTTTCGATTCTTCGACATGCTCGCGCCCCCCAGGGGGGCGCCCCACAGCTTGAGAAACGCTGAGTTAAGGGGTTAAGTTAGCGCTTCTTAAACTTTCAACACTTGCGAACCAATTTTCAATCATAATTTTCATCGCCCCCTCCCTCCATATAATTACAATATATATTGTTTTTTATTGAAAACAATTATAAAATCCCCGTGCACCACAAAGTATCACACGGGGCTTACAGAAGTAAGTATTAAACACACATTCAAGGGAAATAAACAATTAAAAAAAAGAAGTTAAGAAGGATTAC